AAAACTCAGACATTTCATTAATTTCAACTTTGGATCCCTTGTAGGTACCATCAGAGTGTGGAACCCCGCTATGTATATTTTATCATAAGAGTTTTTCTATAGTTTGGCATTCTAGGAATATGCATAGGGAGACTGTTATATTGCATTGCATGCATTAATAACTAAATCAAGATCTGAGACTACAGACTTGTTACTTCATTAGGTCTCTGATGAATGATTAAAACTATAGAGAATGATAAGAACGCGTTCCTCCTGATGATATGCAATATTCCGAACTAAAAGTGTAACATCTGTACATCAGTTGACCCCCACGGATAATTATAAAATCTATGAATAAGATCGTTTGCTGCAATTTGTACATCAATTTATACATGTATCCTTTTCAGGTTTGTTATAAAAAATTATCAAATTGTTTGTACAATAGAACTTAATTCATTAAAAATCAAAATTATTAGCTTCATGAACATTCCAAATAAATGTTGACTGTATTAATGTAATATAATGATGATAAGAAATATAAATCTTCAGATATACATGTAAAAATGAGACGCAATACAGGCAATGCTTATAGAAGTTTCTAAAATGTATATTGTAAAATCACTTAGAATTTTTTGGGTTTGAGAAAGAAAATTAAATTAACTCGAGAATATTTGATTTAATTGTCTAAAATGTATACAGTTTACCAGTACTTGGCTGTAACAATTTGTAGTTCTCTTACGCTCACCTGAGTAACTTTAGCTCTTCTTGTTCTTTATCAACAAATTTTCCTTTATATTCCCACGTTAACTTTGAACGCCCATATGGTTGCATCCTACCCCCAAAGCGTCATAATTTGAACAGTATGTCCTCATCCAATTTTTATTTGTTTTCATTTTTTCTGCATGGAAAAAGGGGTGGACTTTTTCAGTTAACTTAAACCCCTTTGACTTGTAAATACTATGTGTCAGGTTTGATTAAAATTTGCTCGGTGGTTCGGGAAAAAAAGGTAAAATTGTAATGTTTTCGACGACAACGACAGACAACGGACAAATATTTATCGGTAGAAATCACTTCAGCTTTCCGCTCAGGTTGACTAAAAACAACAAAATGAAACAGTTACAGTTTTTTACCGATACTGCTTAAAGAAGTGTTTTTGATTACAATATATAATTTTCAATCGTACATTGTAAATATGCTTTAATATCTTCTAAAGACAAAAAGAGATTTATATGTACTGTAACAGATGAATTTACTCTAATGCTCCATTGTAATGAAATGAATCTCTATGTCTTCTGTTGTATTGTGATATGTGCCTATGAATATACATTTTATGATTTGTGTTGAAATAATATTATTATTGAAATATGTCTTTCATCAAGTCTTGACACAGTATAAATCTAATTTAAGATATATGGAATATTTTCTTTATAACAAAAAAAAAGGACAGGGTGTTATAAAAAGGGGCGTTGGTCTTAATTTTTTCCGAATTGTTCATTTCTTTAAGATTTATCTATTTATTGATTCCTTTAATCATTTATGTACTTATTTATTTTGTTTATTTATTTATTCATTTTATTTATTGATTGATTTATTTTATTTATTGATTGATTTATTTTATTTATTTATTTCTTATTTATTTATTCATTTATTTGTTAATATTTATTTGTTTACATTTATTTGAGTTTTTTTATTTATCAGTTTGTCTATCTTTTTATTTATTGATACTTCATATAATTATTCATTATCTTGAAATACAAGAGATTACATAACTACAAGCCGATACGTAACTTTTGGCCTACCTGAATTTTGCTAATTGCCTCTCTCTTAAAACGATGGTAGTCACTTTTCGTTGATGAAGAATGTTCTGAACTTCACCTCTATTACCGTAACCAACGCTCTGACAGGCAGATCTCAGTTACCTATTGTTTAAAAAACACATCTTTTTTTCTTTCAATATATATGTGTTACAAAAGCCTAACAAACCGCGGCCATTAATATTTCATTTGACTAATGTTAACAGCGGGTTGGACCCGAGAACTCGGATGATTTGTGAAGCTTTAAAGAACCTTAATAACCCGGTAAAGTTGAGGACACATATCATTATTTTTTCGTATGTCCAAAGTATGCGAACGCCAGAAATGAATTTTTAAATAATTTTTTACAATTTGATAAAATCCACATACTAGATACACATGTCTTATTATGGGGGGTTGAATCACTGAGTGCTGCAGAGAATGAACGTCTCTTTTCTTTTGTTCAAACATTTATTAAGCATTCTGGTAGATTTCCTTGTTAATTACTGTACCTATATATTAATATATGAATTTGTTCAACTTTTATATATTTATACATATATGCAAAATGCATCAATTTGTTTACTTTTGCAAATTCTGAATCCTGTATATAGCATGTTTAACTGTGATAATATCAATGTGTAATTTACATGTATAGGGAGAGGGCGTTATAAGTATTCAGTACTTGTGCTCAATCCCTTTGTAATTATATTACAATAAAATATGTTCAAATCAACCCGGGTTTCGTCCGAGACAGGAGAACATTGTGATCAGAGAGGTGAAACGATGAACGAATAAACCTGTACATGTGATGTGTATTATTTCAAAATGACAAGCACCTGCGATCAATTCCAATGAAGTATTTTAAAATTTCTGCAGCATTGTTTTGTTATTAATTTAGAAGTATGAACAAACCTTTGGAGTTTAAAAGCGTCTTTAAATCGACAAAAGTAGCAATGTTTAAATAATGAAAAATAATAATATAGAAATTTATTTAGCGTGGTGCCTAACAAACTTAGTTATTATAATATCATATATCGATATACACTGATAAAATCGAATAAATAACTTCTACGACATTGTATAAACGCTAAATATTTGTAAGTGCATAAATATTGGTCATATAACCATTTTTGTAAAGGTATAAAGTAATCTACTTAGATATATTTAATTACATTAAATATGGAGAAAACAGCATTCAAGCCCACAAATTTATTCAAATAAAATTCAGGAGCGGATCATAACGGACCTCTGGTATGGGATCAGGTGCCATGGAGGTGTCATTTATGACATTCAATTTAAATAATTATAAAATTTGTCAGTTTAACAATTTTTGATTGCAGATATATTGTGCTTAATAACAGTCTGGTTTTTTTCGCTCAGATATGACAAAATTCCAACAAGAGGATGTCTACTTAAAACAGAAAACGTACCAGCTCAAATCAAAATTTTTACTTTTCATAAATTCATGTTACATAATATTACAATACATACACAAAAACCTCACAGACCTAATTACACCCTCACAAACTATACCGTTTCAGAAGAACATCCACTGTAATAGATCTATACACACGTCAATACTTCCTGAAGATATTCCATTGAACATTTGGAATAAATCTAAAAATTCACACTGATATACATGTATATTGTGGAGTGTGATAAGTATATGATTATATATTCTTTTGGCCACACATATAAATGAATTTTTATTCAATTAGGCGATTTTCTTAGAAATTTATAACAATATCTTGAAAGTAAAAAAGAATGACCAGTGTAAGAAGTAAATATGCAAAATAGTAGGAATTGAACAAAATGCTTGTTTCGATTCTCTTTCGAACGCTCTGCTCCTGATATATACTGTGTGAAAGGACTTTTGAGTTTGAATACTGCATGTTCGTTTTCTGCAATCATTTCAAAGAGATGGTAGCGGATAATTGCTACACTAGTAAGAAAATGTAACAATTGAATAGCGAAAGTCATTTAGTTTGTCACCAAATTTAATTGGTCCTTATCATCTATAGTCAGTCAAATATTCCCATATGAAACAGATGTGGCAATATTTGTGAAATCTTTTATTTCGCTTTGACCTGAAAAATGCTAAGATGAGAGATGATTGAAAGTAACTATTCTAATAGAGGAAACATCGTCGATATTTCTAATATGGAATACAATGAAGCGCATTGAAGTGGTAAAATTTTCCGTGTGGACGAAACGTTCTGAGTCATGTTTTGAACGTCAGTTACAACATAATGACACGCCCATATTTTTAGAAACGAGAAAAAAATATTCGTCAAAATGTTTTAGGACACCCCAATCTTCGCGAAAAGCAATATGAGTTACACTGTAAAATGGAGCTTTAAAAATTAGAAGAGAGAGTTAGAGACTCCCTGCTTCTGTAAAATACAAACTGCAACGAATATGTACGTATTTTTGAACTTATCATGTCTACTGATGTTACCACAACACATGTTTCGGTCGAACACGTGTTTACTCGGTGTTTATTTAGACCGACAATTTCATTGGCTATTATATTTTGGAAAACCTGTTCTACAGGTATTCGAATAAACAAATTGACAGTTTTGTCCATTTCTAAAGAAATGGGCGTGTCATAAGATGACAATAAACGTTCTAAAGATAGCTCAAAACCTTCCATTCGAACGGAAAATTTTACCACTTCAATGCGCTTCATTGTATATGTGAAGGCCAAAGCAAGTGTTTCTTTTGTATAAGTTTTTTTTACAAGTTCTTTTCAAAAGAACATTAAAACAGGTCCGCTTATAAAGGCACCACAATTAGTGCCACGAAGATTTATACATTTGTACATTTCACATATATCTACACACCCTTTCTTACACACCGTCACACACACAAAAGACGCAATATCCCCAATTCCAATTTGGTGCTCGACGGAATTTATCAGGAATAAATCTAGAAATTCACCCTGATATACATGTATATTGTGGAGTATGATAAGTATATATATATACAAAGATAAGGTATGACTATTTCATCCGTACACATGCACTCAATATCTCAGAAAGGAGAATGAAAGAGTTTTTATTACTTATTTACTGCTCAAGGTATGTATTCTAAGTAAGATCAGACTGTGTTTTATCTAACTTCTTATCGTTTTTCTGCCATTTGTAGTTATATATGTGTCTTTGTTGTGTTTTCTGTGAGAAAGAGCAAGATAATTTATTTTTCATTCTTTATGACATAAAGTATGTTGCCTTTGGTGACATACGGCCAGCACATCCACCATTGTCCAAATGACTGCCACTGGAATGGTCATTGCGACCTTCGCAGAGGTCACTGTACCTGTTATGACGGTTTCTATAACAACGACTGCACGGGGGACTGTGGATGTCAAGGTCACGGAGTGTGCAAACCAGGTAAGCAAACTTATATACAAGGTCAAATCATTCATGCAGCTAGTAAGTTACTTATCATGATACTAGTATCTTGCAGAATATACAACATAGTCATTTAATTACAGAACAAAGCTTAAACATCTGAAAAAGTTTAAATTTTGAATTTCTTTATTCTAAATATTATAAAATTTATTAATAGTAGTTCAGCTTGTTGATTTGAATTCACGTGTTCGATCATTATTCCAATGACGGTGCTGTTCACATTATTAGAATACTCTTCAGAAAACTCTTACTTTACATTATAGATCACACTTGTCATTGTGATGAGGGGTGGAAATGGTCGGATCACGACAAAAAGTGTGTCTGGGACTGCCACTGTTCTAACGGTAAAATATAGTCATGAATATTTTAATTTGGAAAGCCTTTCTAAAGATGGCGTCATAATCGGTTGATCATGTTTAACAGGTCAGTCTTGCATAGCGCCGGGAGTCTGTGGATGCAGTCATGCGTGTCAGCACGGTACTTGCTGGAATTCTCAATGTGAATGCTGGGAAGGATATAAGGGGGAAACTTGTGATACACTGGATGTACATATGTTAGTAAAGATAAGTAAAAAGAAGTAAAAGTATAGTGTTCTTTCTGACTGTGTATTCAATGTAATAAAATTACATATAAAATTTCAAAATATTACCAGTATTTCACACTCATGCATAATTGTGTTGCCCAGTAGATATTTTCATGTGATGACCTAAATTAAAATTTCATACCTAGAAACCTTTACAAAGACGTGTTCGTTATATTTCAAAATCGTTTTAGTTCCAACAGGGTTTGGGAAATCTTTTTTTCAGCATGGCTAATAGGAATTCCTCGGTCGGAGTAAATCTCGGGGGACTAACGTACTACTCGTCTGAGATCAAATTTGTCGATGTGGCCAAAGAGTCATCTAAGTGGATAACTCAACGGTGGGGGAACCATACTTGGGACAGCCATGAACTAGCGACAGTTAATATGAGGCACGATGGATATCCTGCAAGTTTACCAGGTTATTTTATGTTAAGAAATTCACATGAATTTGACACCAGTAAATGCAAATTAGTTTTCTTTTTATCATCATAAAACAATTAAAAACGAACGCGGAGTACTTCCTTAACTGAATATGAGCATTACTTGCTTTCAAGTTTTAACCACACTAAAACTTTATCTAGAGCATGATTGTAGTGATTGGGTTACTGATGGGCTTTCAGTCTCTTTGAGAAGTCAAAGACTTGTCACTTCAGTTTACTTATCGTTTTATATTATCCCTCGTCTGGTGTTTCCATGGAGCATATCTTTGTCCTGTTCGCGCTTCCTCTTGTTTACTGGATTTTTTCTTTCACTAATTACTCACTAATATAATCGTGTTTTGGTTGTGCCTACATCACTTAGTCTGGGAGGAGGGATATTTGGAAAGTAGACTCTCCAAAAGAGCTGAGGCCTGTTCAACAGAACGAACGTTCTCCAAAATTCCTTATACTTCCAACAGAATTGTTTGCGAGTGCTCGCTCTATTGAACAGGCCTCTGATTACCTCTTTGGGTAGGTAGAATAAACCAAATACATAAAAAGGTTACGCTGGTAGCTTTAAGGCCTATCTGATCGATTCAGATGTGTTTTTATACAAGAAAGTAGAAGAGAAGAGGTAATAAAATGAAGCCACTCTTCAAAAAGGGAAACACCATAGAAAGCAAAGGTGAGGAGTAGCGCATTAGTGGAAACGGGGTAGTCTAGAAGAATTGTGGTGAGGTACTGGTGACAAAGTAATCCTGAATGAAAATGAAAGAACCTCATACTTCACAAAACAATGTGAACTCTGGCTGTTCCAGGAACACAGTACAGATTATTTTGCTCAGGAACCACGGCCTGTCATATTGATTCCTGTATACATACCTCAGAGAGAATAAGAGGAAGATATATAGAGAATCCTTGTCCCTTTTAGAATCCAAAAGGGTTACATTTTAAATAATAATTTTAGGTACATTGTATGCTATAGTAACATATGATTGCTTACGTACAAGATAAAATATGTCAAAATGCAAGAAAATTATGTCAAAATGCAAGAAAATTATGTGAACATGCATGTTACCTAAATTGTTTAGCATTACTATATTTGCTGTGTAGGTGATTTGGCCCTTGAGAAGTTGGTTCTTCGTGCTTTGTCACACCCACCTGCCGGAGTTTACACGATTCTTTATGATGGTGAAGGAGACATTGAAATCAATCTTCTACATTATCAAAAAGTATACAATGGAAAAGGTACATGTATACAAGTAGTTCAATTATTCTGAGAAAAACATGCTTCTAAGCAGTTTTGTATTCAAATCAAATTCTCATGTTCTATTATGTTAATTATGTTTACAATTTATGAATTGAAATTTAAAGTTATATCTACCCTTTTCTTCTAAATGCCTAACCTGTCTTTCTTTTGAATATAGGACGAATGCTGATCAACGTTACCATTGGTCAATCTGGTATCGGTATTAGACTTCTGCGAACCAATCCGGCAAACCCCCTCCACAATCTACGTGTCATTCTCCCAGGGTTCGAAGGAAGACATGAACATTTTCCATATTATCCGTTATTTCTCGAGAGTTTGGTCAGATATTCTGAGTTCAGATACATGGATTTCCTTCACACAAATGGACACACGGTGAGTCAGTGCTATTAAATTATCCGTGATTAAGTATCTGGACAGTTTCTCTCTCTCTCTTTCTCTCTCTAAACACACTATCCTTTATACTAGCTGCTTCCTAAAACAAAATTAGAAAATGTCAATATATATGACTAACTTAGGAGATTCTATTTTGAATTGTTTGAGATTATCTCTATCTTCATTTTTTTTCATAAAAAGCCTGAACCTACAACATGGGATAAACGAAAACTCACAACGTTTCACACCCAAGGAGGCACAGAGGGCGGTGCTCTGGAATACGCCATCTTATTGTCTAACATGCTGGGCGCCAGTCCGTGGTTTAACATGCCTCATGCAGCAGACGATAACTTTGTCAGGCAATTTGCCAAAAAAGTTAAACAAACCCTACGACCAGATTTAAGGGTTAGATAAAAATGACCTTCATCCTTATTTTTTAGTTTTTTTTTTCATTTTATACATAAAGCCATCATATCTCAAATACTGTAAAATCACATATCTCGTGGAGTAAAAATTTCGAGGTTTTGGTGAAAAAAATTGGTTTGTGGGGATTTGATTTCATGGTTGGAAAATGTTTAGTATTAATGCATATGATGTACATTTCGTGGTGGGCATAAATTCGTGGGTCTCCCCATACCTCGAAAACAACGAAAATTAAACCCCACGAAAATTAGTGATTTCTTAGTATTTGAAAAATATGGACATAGAAAGAAACTCGTGACATATATCTTTTAGGTATATGTGGAGTATTCCAATGAAGTGTGGAATGGTATATTTCGTCAGAACCGCTATGCTTCAGAGATGGGCCACAGTCTGGGGTTAGATTCTGGTTGGAAGGCTGCTTTCAAATATTACAACAAACGCTCACATGAAATGGCACAAATATGGAGAGAGGTATATATTATGTAACCACAGATATCGGCTATCGTATGTCAGGCTGTATATGGTTCTCGGTTTACAAAGTTTGTTGTTGTTTTTTTAATTTTTAACTGATTTAATTTCATTACCGGTACTCCGAATTGTTTGAATTTTATTTTGATATCGATATTTAGTTTGAAATTCATGTTCTTATTGATAGTTTTTCTTAAATTATGACCATCAATATTGTTTGCATTCCTTAAAGAAAGGAGTTACTCTCTAATTTTGCATTTACAAAGCTCGTTTCTTCCTGCATTTCTTTGATGTACTTGCAGATTTATGGTGTGTCTGATAAACTAGTCCTTACATGGGCGTGGCAGACAGGATATCAAGATTATACCCGGCAGGCTATAGAGGATCTGGGAACAAGGCTCAACGACTTTACAGCTCTGGCTATAACGGGATACTTTACTTGTGACTTAACCTCCAAACACGTACATAGCATTGTTTCAGAATGTTCAGAGGCCTGTTCAACAAGATGAACGTTCGCGAGTGCTTGCCAAAATTCTTATGCCTCCAACAGGTTCGCGAGCGCTCGCTCTGTTGAACAGGCATCAGTAGTTTTGGAGCATTACGAAATTCTTTATGATTAAAATCTAATTGATCTGAATAAAAAATTCCAAACATGCTACAATGGAAGAGAGAAAGAAAGATTATGGTACAAAGGAGTGAAATTTACTCTAAACACAAATGTAAATTTTTGTTTAATTTTGCAAAGAAAAAACTCTCTTTAAGCGTTTGTCATTTTCCTTATTTGTCATGTTTGTATTCCATGAATTACAGATTTCCTCAATACCAACTATGACTTACAACGAAGTTTCGTCTCTATGTACTAACTACATTCAAAACAAGACCAGATCATCCTTCTCTTATTTCGTGGGTCTTGCAAAGGTACATAACGTTCTTTTCACACGTATGAGCATTTGTTTTAATTTAAGTTGCATGTTTGGTGAAGTTTAATTCTGTCGGCAAAATCTGACAATTTTGTTTCAGGCTCATAATGTACATTTATTGATGTACGAAGGAGGACAACACATTGTAGAGCACGCGCCTCAACACGAACAAATAACCAACAAACTCATGGACATCAATAGAAATGACGTCATGGAAACTTTGGATCTCAATCTTTTAAATGTTTGGAACGACGTCGTTATGAAGCATAGCACTTCAGTAGGTAAGCTAACAATGGACTTATTAATTAGCTATAGATTTATAATACAATACGACAAAAGAAATTATTTTGGATAAATGTCTGGTTTCCATGAAAAAACGCAGGTATTTTAGGTCACCTTAACCGGAGGCTCAGGTTAGCTTTTTAAATGTGCCCGGTTCGATAGATCGGAGGCGTATATTGTTTTTGACCAGTCTGTTTGTCTGTTTGTTTGTTTGTTTGTTTGTTTGTCTGCAAACTTTAACCTTTGCCATAAGGTTTGAACCATGAATGGTAGAGACTTCATATTTAGTATGCATACTTCACTAATTAGTTTCTTTCAAATGACACTAATATTAATGACCTTGTGACCTCGACTGTGACCTATATGCTAAAAATAGCTTTTCTGTCTGCAAACTTTAACCTTCGCCATAACTTTTGAACCATGAAAGATAGAGACTTCATATTTAGTATGCATACTGTACTAACAAGAGGCCCACGGGCCTTATAGGTCACCTGAGTATTTTGTAACAACTTTCAAACAATTAAATTTGGTTCGTGTTTTAAACCAGAGGCCATGAAATTCACAATTCACAATTTTGAAAGAGGCACCACTGCTTATCAAAATTATAAACTTAGCATGCTTACTCTGTTTACTTAATAACCAGAGGTAGATCAAAGTAACAAAGAGAAAATGCACTTCCACTTTATACCCAGTTGTGCACCTGACACCAAAGGAACCACTGACCCAGGGGCCACATATTTCAAAATTTTGCAATTTTTATCATAAAATGGTTAATTTATACCAAAGAGCAGATTTCAAAGCATTAATTTATTTTCAGACTATGTAACCCGCCCCCCTTCCCACTCTGACCCAGGGGGCATAAAAACCGCTTAGCTAGATGCACCTTTCTTCATCATAAATATACTTGGATCATTGGCATAAAACCCAGAAGCAAAGGAAAATATTTTCAAAGAATTAATGTATTTTTACTATATAATCAACAGAGCCCCACCCTAACACCAAAACCCCTGACCCTGGGGCCATAAAATGCATATTTGTATAGGAGGCACTCTTGCTCATCATAACTATGTGCTTAGTTAGTTTATTTAATACCCAGAAGCAGAGAAGAAGATTTTCAAAGAATTAATGCATTTTCACTACAAAATCAATAGAGCCCCGCCCTAACACCAGAACCCCTGACCCTGGGGTCATAAAATTCAGAATTTTGGAAGAGGACTCTTGCTCATCATAACGATGTACTTAGTTAGTTGATTTAATACTCAGAAGCAGAGAAGAAGATTTTCAAAGAATAAATGCATTTTCACTATATAATCAATAGAGCCCCACCCTAATACCAGAACCCCTGACCCTGGGGCCATAAAATTCACAGTTTCAGAAGAGAGACTCTTGCTTATCATAAAGATGTGCTTAGTAATTTTTTTTAATACCCAGAAGCAGAGGGGAAGATTTTCAAAGAATAAATGCATTTTCACAATATAACCTATTTAGCCCCGCCCTAGCACTAGAACCCCTGACCCTGGGGCCATGAATTTCACAATTTTGGTAGAGGACTCAATGCTCATTACATTCATGCCAACAGTTTGCCTGCTTGATGTCCAGGAGTAAAGAAGAAGATTTTTAAAGATTGCAGTAATTTTAGTGGTTTTGGCCCCACCCCTCAGGCCCCAGGGGGGCGGGGACCATGAAATTCACAATTTTTGTTCCCCTCCACCCATAGATGCTGTATATTAAATTTGGTTGAAATTGGTTCAGTGGTTTCAAAGAAGAAGCTGAAAATCTTCAAATGTTAACACACGACGCACGACGCACGACGACGGACAAAAACGGATAGCAATAGGTCACCTGAGTTACTCAGGTGACCTAATAAAGTTCTTTTAAATGACTCCAAGGTCAATGACCTGGTGACCTTAGCTGTGACCTATATGCTAAAAATAGCTTTTTCATACCTTCGCCATAACTTTTGAACCATAAAAGAAAGAGACTTCATAGTTGGTGTGCATACTCCACTAATCAAGTTCTTTCAAATGACATCAAGGTAAATGACCTTATGACCTTGACTGTTACCTATGCTAGTATGCTAAATATAGCTTTTTTCGAATTTTGATGCCGGCGAGCGCATAGTGTTTCTCAAACACATCTTGTCTGATTTAAAAATGTGTACCTCTAGATGGCTGTATGGTTGTCGTTTTTAAACTTCTCATATTTTGACTTATGAAAGGCCAGTTTTGACCAAAATTATGAGAAAGTATCCTTTAGTGAAGGGGTTTTAAAGTTTAAATTTGTTCAATTTTATTCCTATTTAACAGTCAAACTTTAGTCGAATGAGAGAGAGAGAGAGCTGTCTGTAGCATACTGTATTCTTCTTTTATTTTTTAGGTGGTTTATTTAACTACTTTTCATCATGTGGCCAATACTCCAAATACGGAAGTTGGGGAATGTTAGAATACACAGGACAATCCTATTCCTCTGCTCCTAAATACAGGGCTGTCCAAAAGTTCATTTCATCACAGAGCCAGAATACTGAAGTGGCACCCAGGTGTAGTTTTGTGGATATAGGAACTGTTAGTTACGGGTGTTTTCTGGTTGGTGGTAGGCCATACTGTGGTTCTACGGTAGACAGGGGACAAAAATGGTCTGTAAGTTTTCAACATACTCTTTCTTTACTAGTATTTAAGCTGTTATCTATTCTGTACTGTACATGGCATATTTAAAAGCAATACATGTTATATGCCATATTGTAAAGCCTTTAGTCTGACCAAAGTCTGTTTATTATTGTTATGAGTTACATGTTTCTAACGTTTATCAGGCTACCGGTATATTAGTAAAATACAACACGATATCTTTGTCAATTATACTAAACTACATGC